TTAAAGCAAGCGTTTATATAACATTCAATTTAAACTTTACACTTAGTACAATAATCTTAGAATGTATAAAAACTGACCAGATAACAGTTAGTTACCCACATTTAACTTAAAATTATACAGCTATCTCTTATTAAAAACAACTAATATACATGTATTTTAACGTGTGTGAAGCAATTCAATTTGTTTCCCAAAGGGTCAGACAAAATTACCTTTAATGTTTATAAAGTTTAGGTCTGAAATTGTCCATCTCTGACGAGTCGATGACGTAACCTGCACTCAGTGTGCACTGTCCCAATTCTGCCTTTTGTGCACACTTGTAACCTGCGCACTCCAACCCTGGTGTGCACTTCCAACAAATGCACACTTCATAGGAGGGCGTAGGGTGCAGTGTGGGTATTGGGACTGGGCCAATGACACTGTTGACTTTGTCTTTTCATGTAAGTCCCTGTGCTACCACCAGAGGGACCAGAGAGAGACCTCCACTGTTACAGGAAACTGAGGTTCCATTTCTAGAGGAGAGACAAAGAGGATGTGTTTTATTTCACACTGATTGTTTTACTGAAAAAACAACCATTTGAACCCAACATTAATTCATGACAGAAATATCTGAGATTGTATTTGCATAAAACATGTATTGTGGATTTCTCACATCACTGCAGTGAAGGTCTTTCTGTGTGTGTTTGTGTGTCAGTGATTGTGTGTTTGTGTGTCAGTGATTGTGTGTTTGTGTGTGTTATCTTTCAATGGTGGTTTTACGAGCTGTGATAGTAGCTCTGCTGCTTCAAAATATCTAAAATAGGTTATTGACAAAGTAAACAAAAACAGGGCAATAGCTGTTGATTTGCATGTTGTGTCTATTAAAGCTGGGGTACCTAAATAATCAGGTTTCCCAGACCCCTAAAAACAGTAGATCCCCCATTATCGCCAAAATAAAAGCCCTGGAACACGTTGGAACTAACTTTAACCCAATGTCATGTGACCAACAGGCGATGAACTCTCCACAGGTGAAAGTAGATCCTCACGTTTCTGCCTTTCTCTCCATTTTGAAAGAACTCAAACTTCCAAACAGGAGGGAGCAGCAAAAGTGGGACTATCGTTGGTGTGATTCCTCATGTGTTCAATGCCCATGTGAGAAAAGCTTCAGAAACAACCATCTCATCTGGACTTTTGAAATAGAGGCCATTTTCCTGCCCTTCACAGGTCCTTCATGACCCATGCACGACAGTCCAAAAGTCTCCATTCTCCAACATTGTTCAGAACAGGTGACTACTGCTGTAACCTTCCCGATCATGTGACCAACACCACGTCAATGGAATCTGTGATGTGTGCAAAATGTTGTGTGTTTGTTGAACGACTTTAGCAAATCATCAAGAAATCAAGCATTCCTCCATGATGTGTCTAAGTCCTAACTCTGTAGTGAAAGCTAAGTTAAGTTAAAAAGTCATTTCACACTTTTTATATTTGCCTGCTGGTGTTTTTACAGGTCCATCTATGTATCTATCGTCACCTAATCTTCAAGCACTCCTTCCAGGTGGATGGATGGAAGAGGATGACGAGGCACTAGGCCTTCTCACGAGCTGTAGGGGCAACAGACGGCTGCCAGGTCCAGTTTAGGCCTCCAGGGGGCGCTGATGGGCAGTCCTTCAAGATCAGGAAGCTTTTGGACAGCATCGTCCTCAGGCTGTGACCATCAGAGTCTGGACCAAGTCTCTCTGGACATGTATGTGAGCTGTCCTGGGTCAGGTACCCCAGCTTTAATGCTTTAATGCATCTATTCTTTGTCACCACTAGATGTCATCGTTCAGAAAGAGAGGACACTTCACAATATTCAACACTTTTATTCTGATAAACAGGAACTCAAACAAAAATATACACATCTTTTCTACAAATAACATTCTTTTGGCTCGTTTCATCTTTTTGAAATTTGGCCCAAAACACTTTTACAAACAACAGCAACTAACTGTGACCCAAACCTTTACCTGAGCCCAGGACCAGTGGGGGAGGGTCCCAGCTCAAAAGTGGCCAAAATGACGTGCTGCAATACCACCCCGGGCCTGTGGGGGTGGATCCAGAAGTAGAATTAGCCAATGCTAACATATAGCGTTGGCAGACCTCTCAAAAACGTCTTTACAGGATGGACCAAAAGTTGGCTCTTAAGCCCAAAGCTCCGTTCCACATGTGTGTCAATGCTGAGGGGGGTGGATTTTTTTGGTCCACTCTAGTTTACTTGCTGTGAATTTTTTAAGTCTCTCGTTCAAATGAACGGAGCTGCTCCGACTGACGCATGCACAGATGCGTTTTTTCACAATTTTCTTGTGGGCGGGACCACTCGTGGCCATTTTGGATTGCTCCAGTAGAGCACATTTTTTGGCCCATTAGTTAGAACGGCGGAGATAGGCGTGACTCTCTCCATTAATATATACAGTCTATGCCCAGGACACACAGGTTTACACTTCTGTACTCTGCAAACTTCATCTCAAATAAATCCAAAAAAAGACGAGTAGAGTAGAGTAGAGTAGAGTAGAGTAGAGTAGAGTAGAGTAGAGTAGAGTAGAGTAGAGTAGAGTAGAGTAGAGTAGAGTAGAGTAGAGTAGAGTAGAGTAGAGTAGAGTAGAGTAGAGTAGAGTAGAGTAGAGTAGAGTAGAGTAGAGTAGAGTAGAGTAGAGTAGAGTAGAGTAGAATACAATACAATTTATTCTTGTGTAGCCCAAAATCACAACAGAAGTCATCTCAGGGGACTCAACAAAACCATTGAAATCACCAACACAGATCAGAGAATCAACAGTTAAAACACATAAAGAACATAGAACACATGTTGATAAATGTCATACATGTTGTAGAATGTTAAAGTGTCCTGATCATCACCACATCCTTCTAGTTGGACACTAACTGCCCAACAGACCCTCCTGCATCGACAAGGAAAATAAAGTGAGAAAACCAAGTGGAAAAAAGTGAGAAACCTCGGGGAGACCCACATTTGAGAAAGGGATCCACTCCCATGGACGGACAGGGTCACACCCGTCCTCATTCATCTATACTGCGACTCCCCTGCCCTTCTTCTTTCCGCTCTCCCGTCCACACTCCGGTCTGCACGCACAAGTTTTAATCCCTTCAGAGCGACCACAGAGACCGGGACGTTCTCACACAGCCACGTTTCAGAGAAACACATAAGTCCACAATGTATTTCCTCTGATGGCGGGCCAGTGTGGTCAGCTCTGGAGCCTCTGCGTCTCCTGCGTCTCAACACGGGGATCACCGGCTTCTCGGAGTGCAGGAAAGCAAAGTCTCTTAAGCCTGGTGCACACACGACGACGACTCCTCGAGATCAAGCGTGCCTTCAGCGTAAACAGTCCTAGCGGCGAAGCGGATTGCCAGTGGCGATAGGTGGCGAGTTTGTTTTGTTAACAGAGAAGACAGCGTAATCCAAAGAAAAGGGCAATGGTCAAAGCCATCTGCTGTGGTTGTGGGTTTTTTCCGGTGTTTCCTCACCGCGTTGTCCACCTCGTCTTCTTCTTGGCTACACCCGCGTAGTCATGGCCAACGCGCCGCTTCTCCTCGGGGACACCACACACGACAAGAACTCGCGGCCCAACCACCCTACCAAGTTGGATTCTCCCCGATTTGAGATTCGGGCGCAGTCCCGATGGTCCTTCCGAGCGACGCGTGCAGTCTTAACACACCACACACGGAGGATAATCTGTAAGATTGTTGTTACGGAAATCGGAGCGTTTCTTAAGGATTTTCGGTAAGGGTAAGATGATGTCATAGCTGCCCTTTCGACCCTTTGTGGAGTACTGACTACACAACTCAGTGATAGGACTGTTCAGCCCATTGGGACTGAGATAACAACTGGTGAAATGGGACATTACAAATAGAGACTAGATAAAGATATTTTACAGCATTTTGTGACAATGGGGCACTCCGTTACAACAATATCTGGACTTATGGGTGTCTCAGTATCTACTGTAAAGCGCGCTCTAAAAGAGTATACAATCAGCCATTAGACAAACGTACAGTACTATACAAGACAATGATGAACTTGTCAGAACCAATAACTATGGGATCTCGGATGCTGAAGGGTAAGCTACAGGCACTGGGTCATCGCCTCCCTTGGACTCGAGTATGGGCATCCCTGAGACGGGTAGATCGTGTTGGAGTCCTGTGCAGAGCCACACATGTTGGTTATGTCGTCCGGAGGTCCTACAGTGTCCAGGGACCTCTGTCCCTTGTTCATGTGACACAAATCATAAACTCATCAGGTCAGTCACACACAATAGTTTATAAGGTAGCTCCCAAACAGTATTCCTAGGATTCTTTGTAGCAGTACAGTTCATTGTATTTCAAGTCATGGGTGCGCCACCGCTTAGTAGATGGTGTAGACCTGGCCAATGTTGTAGTTCTTGTTTAGTATGATTTTATTCATAAATAGAACTGTTTTTACATAATGACATTTTATTCTATTTATGTTATGAGACTAAGGATTTAATCCTTTTATAGGATTAAAGGATTTAATCCTTAGTCTCAAACTTTTCATTTAAGAGATTTGTCATGTTTCCTTTACGCAGATATGGCTTTGTCATATTTGGTGGCATAGATGGATACTCACGAAAGGTACATTTTAAAATTTAACTCAGCAGTAGTTCTTCTATTAATAAAGTTTTTGTTTTAAATACAGATTATGTACTTGGAGGCTGCAACGGACAATAAATCCACTACAGCATTAGGATTCTTCCTGGGATCTGTGGCAGAGAATGGTCTTCCTTCCAGGTAACTGAATTTCATAATGTCACATACACCCATGTTGTTTAAGCAATGTATTTTCCTTCAATTTTCTCTGCTCATATTTACCAAGGTTATGTTATAGAATGATAACATGCCCTGCTCAAAAGTCATCTTGACTTTTTTTCTGTTCTTATAGGGTTCGTGGAGACCAAGGCGTTGAAAACTTGCAAATAGCAAGATTTATGTTTTCCATTCGTGGTTGTGGTAGAGGAAGTTTCATGTCTGGCAAGAGTGTTCACAATCAGCGGTTTGTATTAACCCAATCATTTAGAACATGCTGAGTATAAATAGATTATTATTAGCTATATTATATGTGGGTAATCTATTCTTGTTAGTATGTAGTTTACTTAGTTATAACACATTGCATCTGATTGTGACATTTAATTTGTGTCTTTTCAATGTTCCTTGTCAGATTGATTTATCATTTCTTATGTTCACAGTATTGAGAGACTGTGGCGTGATATGTGGATGTCAGTGACAAGTACATACTACGAACTTCTCCATAGTTTAGAGGAAGAGGGCTCTCTGGATCCAACCAACAGTCTTCAGCTTTTTTCCGCTCAATACGTATTCTTGCCAAGGCTAACATCAGACCTCCACAGCTTCATCAATAGCTGGAACAACCACCCCCTTCGCACTGAACAAAATCTCACACCAAACCAACTTTGGGAGATTGGCAAAGCACTGAATCCAGTCCCGTCTGCACAGGTGTTAGGGCACTTACGTTTTGCTATTTATAATATGTCAATGCGTTGTCTAACCCAAAGATGGTAATCTTTTGTTTTTTTTACAGCACACACTTTACCAAAACCCTCCAAGTCAAGACGAAGACCTGGAAGCCTCTGGAATTGTAGTCCCACAAATTGCATGTCCCATGCCACAGCAAAGTCTGGAACTATTAAGGGCTAGGTTCAACCCACTTGCACCTTCATGTGATTTCGGACGAGCTATATACATTTCGGTTTTAAATTATGTTCTGCTTCACAGTGCCACGCAAGTGTAAAATATTTCAATGGAAAAGTAAAAATATGCAATAAGAGATGTTTGTTTGCAGTTCATTTGACACTTGACATTTATTCAATTTTACTGCAGATAACCAAAACCAGTTTCACATGAACGGCGACATCTCTAAATTAGTTTCAAGTAACGGAATATTTATTTATGAAACAAACATTCAATACGAAATGTGTGCCTTGAAAAAGTCATTTAACTAGACAATGTGAAATCCTCCACTGCATGTAACTGCAGTAGTGAAGTTTGATTTAAATTCTTCATAAGTGTTGAAGTGAGCAGTTGGAAACGTAATGGTCTGTGAGCATGCATTTACAACTGGGAAACACAGAGTATGTTCTGGCATTTGTTCACGGCAGTTGTGATTGAAATGGACATAAATTTTGAAGCGACGTCTGTCTGAGAGCAGGAGGTGACGATGTGACTGTCCAGTAAGCCACTGCATTATTTTGGCAACAGTTGGCTGATCTTCATTGCACAATGGCTCATCTTAATAAAAGAGGCATATTATTACACAAACATTACATAAAAATATACCCTCAATCTCATTCAGAAAGTCCTGAAGGCAATTCAAGATGTGGATTTCTTTGCTGTGCTTCAAGGTACCCTCTTCACTCATTTGTGGGTCAAGGTTAGAAATGATGTAATGTGCATCCACCTAGTAAAAAGATTGTAACAATGGCAGTACAGTAGGATCCAAAAAAGTATAATAGAATATACCTTATCATCATTATCAAAGACAAAAAGGCCACGGCAGTGCTCTGTTTTTTGCTGCAGGACTGACATGAAATTGTACAAATTGAGTCCCTCTCTCAAGTCATTAAGCATTGGGGTGCGTTGCATGGTTGCATGCATCAGAATGGCTCTGAAAACAAGACATTTTTACATTTCGATAAAAAAAAAAACCCCCATCAAATTCAACATACCTGATTATTTCCTCCTTCTTATCTACAGTGATGCATCCTGTGTAGCCACAGTTGATAATTTCATCAGCAATGGCCAAAACATCTTCGGTTTCTTCAATTTGTTTTATCAGACTGCTTAGCTGTGGCTCATGCACGTCATATTTTGTTACGTTTGGTAATGTACCAGTTGCCAAGAAACTGAAGCACCACTCTTGCAAAAACTTTGGTGCTGGTCCCCCCTGGGCCAGACTTGCAGCAAACACTTGCCCTGCAACTCTGGAAGAAAAGAAAAGTACTCAACTTAATTTACAAAAACAATTCGCAGTTACTACTGCATTTAAAAAAAAATTCACAAACCTAAAAAGACCATTGTGCAGGTCACTCATTGAATATTTTGGAATTTTTCCTTTCTTGTTCTCTCCTACAAATAGGCGCTCTTCCAAACCAGCAACCATTTCTAAAACAAAAGACATTAACATAAGTATGTATATATAGAGAAAAAATAATAACAATAACGTTCTTATTGACCTGTGAGGAACTCAAGCCTTAAAGCGCCAGTGTCAACTCCTGCCTCCCCAAGAAAGCTGACTTTCAGAGGGTTTAATGGCGAAGCTTTCTTCTGGCGTTGCCATTGCATTATGCCTCGTTCCAACAAGTTTTCTCGTGAAATACACAGGTGGAACTCCTTACTACGGTCCAGCTGAGTAACCAGCCAACGCAGGACATCCTCTTCACTATTAGAAACAATGCAAATGAACTGGTCTCCAGCACAATATCCACTTAAATGTGATATTAAGCACAAATTACCAGGATATTTTATCCACCTCCAACAAGTCTGCCGAGGGGATGGGGACACTGTTTTCAAAACTGTCAAAGCAAGTAACATGTATGTTATTATATGCAACTTGAGAGTTGCAATATATTAAATGTTACAAAACATCTCACCCAGTGTCACCACAGGTGCTTGCATGGTTCAGAAGTTCTGATTCTGGAAACATCTTGTGACAAATTGGACATGCTGCTTTAGCCACCTTGAAATCAAAAATAAAACAAGGAATGTAATACAAAGGTCTGTGTTTTGGAAGTCGAGTCTTTGCTCTCAGTTGTAGTAGTGTACATCATTTATTGGAGGAGGCCCAGGGGAAGACCCAGAACACGCTGGTCTTAGTCCTTGCTCAGACTGCTGCCCCCACGACCCGACACAGGATAAAGTGGAAGAAGACAAAGTCTTCATGTCACAGGGAATAACTTTAGCCCAAGTCCCGATTAAATAGCTATCAACAGTCCAAGTTAAGTCATATCACAATTGCACAAAGGGTAGTAGTAGTTAGTAGTAGTCAAATAAAATGAATCTGAGTACATTGAGTGGTTGGAATGAAGTTTCAGCTTCAGATGAATAGTTTTCCATATCATCTTCTTTCCCATCAGACAACTAGAAAAATACAATAAATATTTGAGTTCTGCTAATACTAGAAGATAAAACGTATGATCAATCAATATCAAATATCAGACTAATAATCATATGAAATATACAGAGTTTACCGTCTCAGATTCTGAAACATGTATCAAGTCTTCTGTGCAACTTTCCACATGATTCGTCAATAGTTGTAGTGGCATTTCTTGCATGCATGACTTGCATGTAGCTTTCGGCATCAATTTGTACTCTTCTGCATCTGAGGGTAATGGCTTCATGTCCAGCTCCTCTTGCAGAGGGACAACAAAAAGAGCTGTTTTGCCATTAAAGGTGGTAGATTTAAGTTGAGCTCCTGTGTAACCCTCATGGCTTGGAGGGACAACCGTCAGACTTCTTCTTCCATGACCACCTAAAATAGGACGTAAAAATCTCTGGCAAAGATACAGCAAAACCGCATAATGTAATAATGATACCTAGTGCTTTTTTGACGACCCATCCCCCAGACACATTCTTGAATTTGCTGAATGTTTCCCCCAGCACAATGGACACCTAATGTACATTACCTTTATTGTACATGCAACCATTGAAAGTTTGTTATAAAGAAATGGCTCTTACTTGATTATGGTCCATAGACTCTATAATGTCCACTTGACGCTTACCAAGTCCAGCCAGTGCCAATTGCATTTCACCTGATGGACTTGGTGTGAATTGTGCATTTTTCTGCAGCAGGTAGACAGTGCATGAAAAATGCTTTGGTTGCTTTGGCACATTTTTGGAGCACTGGAAGCGTCTTTTTCCTAGACAACTTTTCTTCTGGAAAAATCCAGGAAAAGATCTAAACAAAAAAAAAACACATGAAGTTAAAAAAGGTAGTCTAGGATCTCTTTATACTTGTATTTTGGAAAATATATTGCAATTAAAATACCAGTACCAGTAAGTGAGTAATAAACTAACACACAGGGAATACAAATATGTTTATAGCAGGAGTAACAGATAAACAAAAACTGGCTTTAAATTGGCATCAAACACTACAATAATTTCACATAAACCTGGCCATCTCATGCTGAACGGCTGGACCCTGGATTCTTTCACGTGGCTGTACTGACGTGACCTGAGGATTAGGAGCCTGTCCCTGACCTGCGCTTTCGAGACTCGGCTGGACATGCCTCTGCAGGACAGCGACTAGCGCTTGTACCGCAGAGGCAACAGACGGTTCAGCCTGGGGGTAATGCAGACAGTTAATGTTAATAATTATTGCAACAACGCATATATGGGGAAAAAACAATAACATAGCACCATCATCGCCTTCTTATGTGCTGTAATTCCATCACAGCTAGCTAAAATAAAACAAGTCATCTTTGCCTTATTACGAAAGTTGTTGACGTATTTAAATCTGTTAAAAAAGATCGAAACAATTTGTTATACCCATTATAATAGATCCATGATTATACCTCCCTAGATGTTCTTTCTTCCATTTCGCGGTTCAAATTTTTCTCCGTCTTCAGCATTCTCGAGGTCGGACATCCGGGAACTTGGACTCCCATAATGCACTGCGCGCGCATAGCAACGCGGCGAAGGGTAAAACAAACCAGCGCCCGCCATTAAGCAACACGAAGCGAAAGACAAACGAGCGTTACAAAACATGCCGAAAAACTGTTGTATTGTTGGTTGTACCAACAACAGCGTAAAAAGGAGTGACCTATCCTTTTACATGATCCCTAGCGAGGCAACTGAGCCAGAAAGGAGAGAGAAATGGCTCCAGCTGGCTTGGAGCTACTCAGTGGGAATCTTTTGATTTTGTCACTTTGCTCCTTGAACAGGAAAGAAGAACAACAACCCCGCACACCCAGATTACACTCCGTCCATTTTCCCGCAAGCAGTGCTGAAGGAATTGACTAAGAGTACCACACTTGATCGCTTCAAGAGAGCACAGAAAAGAAAAGGTAAGTTTGCTACCCACAGTACCCTATCGTTAACAGAAAAAAAACCATCAAACTGTAGTGTGATCAACATGCATCTAGTTTGCTCCTAGATCAATGACCAAAAATTATCTGAATTTGTTTGACACAACACTTGAAATTTAAAACTAACAAATTGCAGTCGATTTTGTTTATGCAGACATATATATATAGTAGCAAATTGTGTTTATTGCTCTTATTTTACACTGCAGTAAAACCGTACCTGCAGATAATGAGCTGCATTTCCAATGCACAGTTAAGAATTAAAAGATTCCCATATTGCAATGAGGTTGTGTACAACAATTGATACAAGCACCTTGTGAAATAGAATGTTGTCCCCCATATGAAATACATAAATAAAAAATACATGTTGATTTCTAATGACAAATTTGAAAAAGTAGTACTTGGGAGGTTAACTGCTACAAAAATGGTAATCTGTGTAAAAATACAGATTTTGCTAACAAATGTATTTTCCTTGAAAACAAAATTACCTCCTGTATGAAAAAGTCATTGCATCTACAAAGTAACTAGTCATGCAGATTTTTGTACATAATGCCTAGCCTGGAAATTCTTGGTAAGATGGTATTTATAGTACAAAACTAGTCTACTGGTCGCTGCTTTCTAGTCATAGTCGACTATTATGACTTATCGTCCCAATCCAACTCAATACTAAATATACTGCCGTTTAGTAACACCAGGAAGCCGAGTGAGTGAGTGGTGGTGGTGGTGGGTCGGAGGGGCCGATGGCGCAGACTGGTCGCCTCGCTTCAGTCAGTCTACCCCAGGGCAGCTGTGGCTATAATAGTTGCTTACCACCACCAAGTATGGAGTGAATGAATAGTGCAATGTTAAGCGTCTTTGAGTGTCCAGAAAAGCACTACATAAAACTGATTTATTATTATTATTATAAATATGAGGCCATGACTTAAAATTTCTGTGATCATTTGCAAAATATATACCTTTTATCTATTTTTTTCAGCACCATCCACTACTCTAGTATCACGAAAGGAAAGGAAGGTGAAGAAGCAACTGGAATTTGAGGAGACAAGTGTCCCAGAAGAGTTGCAACAAGAAGTGTCAACACCCTGCATGGAAATGCAAGACCTGCAGCAGACGGAATTAGGCATTGACAAAATCAGCAATGATTCGGTCTCCACCATCATAATACTAAATACACCTGAAACAAAAGAAAATGAAGAAAGGGAAATAATTTTATTTTTATACATTAACATATCACATCTAGGAGAGTGACAATTGACCAGAGCAAAAACACTGACAAATTGCAAGTAAATGATACAAATGTTTTCATGTCAATCTTCACGTCTTTTAGTATTTCTACTTATACAATGTCTAATAAACTATTTCTCATTAGAAATGTTAAAGTCTTGCTGTTGTCGTTAGACACTACATATATAATATAATAAAATGTAATCTGATGACTGGTTATTGCAAAAAATAACCGGTCATAAAAAGTGTGAATAGAGGGTATGCCATTTTACTTTAAAATTTAAATAGAAATGTAATCTCAAATGAATGGACACATTGAGGGGCAAATCAAAGAATAACAAAATAATACCAATGCCATGCCACTGTTTTCTGTTGCTATGTTATGACATCGCTATGCATAATGGTCGGCAGCTCTACACCGATAAGCAACAATGAAATGCACTAGTTGTGTGGGGAATAAGTGGAATTTCTGCAGTTAGCCTTTTTTGGCTTTTGAAAAAAACTGTGTCCCTCACTTACACTGTACAAGCTGTGCCACTGACAGACTGAGCTCATTACAGCCACATTGTAACAGAATGCTTTTGAATGTCATAACATAGTTAATGTTATCGATGCTTGATGGGTATTTAAATATTACTACAAGTGTAGGACACATGGTATGTACACATGGTGTTCATACCAGGGGACTTGATGAGGTAATTGTATATGTCTGGATACTCGAGCCTGGGCCATGCCTTTGGGTTGTTTTCCCAGGACTCTGCTGGATGCCGATAGGGACAAGATTGTAAACCTACAAGCGACAGCTTTCTGTGGTACCTTAGCCTGGCCTTTGCCATCCGTAAACTCCGGTCAAATCTTTTTTTCCCGGGATGTACCCTCTGTACGAAACAAGTATGAGGGTATGGTAAAACCAGGCTAGTGGTACCTGGTCAATGCAGGCGCTAGGAGACTGTCAATATACTGATATGACATGCTGCAATAGAAGAAGAAGATCTGTATTCATATAGTGCCTTTCACAGACATGTAGCTAGTCACAAAGCGCTTTACATGAGTGTTTAATCTCACATGTATGGAGTGAATGTAAACTAAAACTGGCGATTATAAGTGTAAAACTACAACTGAAAAAGGTGGTCCTGTTGTGGCTTAAGGTGCAAGAACAAGAGGAATGACATTTGCGTTAATAAAATAAGGTTTATCTGATATTTCCAACAACAGTTAGACATTTCTTTATTGTTACTATGACAACAGCTACAATGGAAATAGATAGGAATTTAGATTCCTGCCTCCAGCTAAGCAAGCCCTGAATGTTTACACCACCAACATACATTCGCATACACAGATATCATTCATCAATAATTCAAAGTTGTCCGTTAGTATCCATAACTGACATAATCCACGGCAAAACATATGTAAATAGATACCTTTTGATTCGCCTTCGGTTTGTTTTACCCTTCAAACATGGCGGCGGTTGGTTGCTACGCAGGTCACATGATTCGTGACGTAACGCCGACCTCGAGAATGGATCTTCTGTAGTAACGTGCGTGTGTTTTGGTTTTGTGGTGACGTAACATCCGGGCCCTCCAGCCAATGAGCGCGCTGAGCCCGCCCCTCCAAAAAGGGGTCAGATTAAATTCGGGCGTTCTGCTCTCCCAAAATTCCATCCGATGGGCGGGGGAGCGACTGAATTTTGCGTTGCATTATGGGTAACACTTGCCTTCGCAACTTCCGGTTCTCTCTGCCCGGCGCATTTTCTCTAAATGGTTGAGTGTTTTCGTCATTTTCTGTATGCAAATACATTCCCGTCTCTAACTAGTGGCATATCGCGCAAATCATCCGTCCAATTCACATTCTTCCCTCTTAGCTGAACTTCATTCTCATTGTTACCATCTGTCACTCGCACACACAGCCGTTTTCGTTCACTCTGCTCGCTGTCATCTTCTTCTAAATCTTCATAAACACCATCCGCTCGTTGAACTAGCAACAACAATTCCTCCTTTTGTTTTCCCACACTGCAAATACCCTTTCGCTTCAACCTTTCACGCAATTCAGGCACTGTCAATCGTTTGTTGTTTTCGTGAGCCATATTCGCCATTGTATGAAATCAACCGGAAGTGAACTGGGCAACAAACTGTCATTTTTTGATCACAGCGCCGCTCAGTGGATGGAATTTTGGGAGAGCAGAACGCCCGAATTTGAACCGTAAGCGTAACTTTTGAATCGTAAACGTAGCTTGTGAATTGTAAACGTAACTCGTGAATCGTAAACGTAACTTTTGAAGCGAAACACGAAAAATGTGAAATGTAAGTGTAAGTTTTACGTTTACTACAGTTTTCTCGTTTACAATATATTTTTATGTTTACAATACTTACAACCTACGTTTACAATTCCTGCTTTACGGTTACGTTTAAGCAGACCCTATTTTGACGCCATACAAGTCTGAAGTCCATAGTACTTGGTGTCCAAAAATTCCCACAGGCACACACAGCCGAAAACCTGGCCAGTGTGAAAACCTCCCTCATGGAGGAATGGGGAATTCGATCCAAAGTAACCTGTTTAGGTCAGGACACTGCAAGATAAATATGAAACCATGGTCACGTTATGGTGTCAAAGGTGATGGGTATTCTTAAATTATATTTGGGACACACAATCTAGAAGTAGCAAGTCACTTCTATTCATTTATTCACCAATGTTAGTAAAGCCTATATCTGTCTCTTTAGTAACTGATGGTGCAGCAAACATGCTGGCCTGTGGCAGGGAGCTGAAGCTGCGCCATGCAGTGTGTGTTGCTCACACACTCAATTTAGTGGTGAAAAAGGCTCTGGATCTAACCCCAGCATTAGCCAGTATTCGGATGAAGACAAGAAAGCTGGTGGGGTATTTTAGGAGCAGTACAACTGCCAAAGTAAGTAACACAATTTTCACATTTGTTTTCACAATATTTTACATTGCTTCATGTGTAAAATTGACTTTTATGTTTGAAGGAAAATTTGGACAGAGTTCAGGAACAGATGGGGATGCCAAAAAAGAAACTGATCCAGGAGGTGGAAACTCGGTGGGACAGCACCTTCCAAATGCTGGAGCGAGTAACTGAACTCAAGGAGCCTGTGGGGGCAGCTTTGGCGGGCCTCACATCTGACATCCCTGCTGTGACCTCAGAGGATTTTGCAATTGTGTGTGGGTGCCTGGCAATTCTTTCTCCTTTTAATGAGGCCACAATTGAACTTTCAGTTGAGAAAAAAGTATCTGGCTCTAAAGTGGTGCCCCTTCTCAAAATGATAGAGAAGGCCATCCAGGATGAGACTGCTAAAACAGCAGTGCCAGTTGCGCGGGAATCAGGAGAGCACCTCATAAGGCTCCTGAGAGACAAGTTGTATAAA